GGGACTCTTCAAAACAACTTCTGAGTTGGTAAATCCTAGCATTTCTCAGGTCAAATCCTGCAGTAGTGAGTAGCTATGAATGGATCCTGCTAACTGGGTGGGAGGGGGGTGGAGATGGAGGGCAGTCTGCCCTGGCAGCCTGAGGCTACGCTTGCGCTTGGGTGGGGGGGACTCTGGTGCTGGTCTCCTCCAAATAAAAGGAGACTTAAAGAGGGGTTAAGCAGGTTTAACCCTTCCAAGTGCTGCAGACGATTAGAGTGTGCTCACGCCATCCTGTGGTCCTGTTCTCTCTAACACAAGAGTGTGCCATCTAATGTAAGACTTAACTCATCTGATGAGGAGGACTTCCAATGTTCCCATCCGTGCATTTCATTTCCACGTGCCATTTTCCCTTTAGAGCAGAGGTAACTCACTGTTCAGAGAAGTTCATGCTCCACAGATGAGCTCAAGTCCTGATTCAGAGCCCTTGTATGAATCCAGTTTAAAACAAAAACATAAAACTATACTATTAAGTTACTCCAAAGAGAAAGATTTCACCAAGGCAGCAAAACCATGTAAGATGTAGGAAAGGTATTTCCCCAGATCTATTTTTATTTTTCTTATATTTTTAAAATTTTAAAAGCGTGGCGTTTGCCCAGTCATAATTTTTATGAAGGAAGGAAATCAAGTGAGGTTGATGTAATTTGTTTAGGAGATTCTTAAATCCAAATAAATCTACACTCCAAGTGACGTGTGAAAATGGCTTGGTTCAATCCAATTCTGTTTGATCAGTGCTGGGGACACAGAACTGGTTTTGTTTCCTTTTGGGGTTTTTTTAGTTTTATATTGTTGATATTAATGAAGTTTTTGTTTTCCTTGGAAGCGCATAGAAGGAATTTCCATTAATAAAGTGCTTCTGACACCACTTTCTGTAAATGGAGCAATACTTCCTCCGCGAAGAAAGGAATGATTTAGAAACTAAATGAAACATTTAGACCTTAAAAGGATTTTTTTTTAATTTTCAATAGTAATGGGGGGGGGGCGGGGAATATACCAGGATCAAGGTGGGTCCACAGAGGAAAGAATCATGTTTATTATACATTTCTCAAGTTATTCCAGGTAGAAAAAGGTTTTATTTTGCTTTTATTGTTTTCTTTTAACTTGTTTTTCCTGTTAATAAAAACGTATATCATCTTAGCTATAGAAGCATTGAATGTTAGAACTGGGAAGACTCTTAGAATCTAATCACTTTGTTTTTAAAGATGCACAACAGGAACCCGGAGAGGGTGGTCCTAACTCCTGGTGGGGTGACGGGTCTTCAGCCCCCATGCAGAGCTTCTCCTCCTGAGCTGGGTCACCTCACTGTTACCCAAGGTGGCTCTGGTCATTTCTGTGACCTAACGACATGTTCCGTCACTGCACCTCCCTGGGAATGCCTCCGAGAGCAGCCTTCACATTCAGGAGCTTTCATACACAAAATGCCTTTTGAAAGTCTTCATGATTTTGCTCTCTCCTCAAACTCTAATCGAAATGTCCAGTTTACCTGCCCTGCTAATAGTTGGGGAAGAGTTAGTTATTTTGTTATATTTACCGATTTTTCAAGCATTCTTTTGAAGAGCTTTCCTTTTTAAACTGACAGTCATGCAGATGTTTTTGTGTGCAGGTCAAGGGATCTCAAAGCATTCAAGATGCATATAGTGCAGAAAATCAATAGTGAGAAATTAAGCTGTGTGTTGAGCAATTGCAGAGAGGGAGTGGAGAGGTGTCTCAGGTGCTCAGCAAGCAGCCTGGCTGCAGAATTAGATAAGGCTCTACAAATTCACATCATGTCATCAAATAGTTGACTGCTGTTTACAGCTTCACCAAAGAGCCGACCCCGGGTCCAGCGCCTGGAAAGCCCGGATGTGGATCTGCACCGCAGGTAGGACGCGGTGCTCCTGGGCAGCTAGCCGGGCCGTGTTTCGCACTGTCCCCTGAGAAAGCCAGAAGACTGTGTCCTTCTGCTTTCTTGATCTCAGAGGGCTTGTCTCTTGGATCTAACCTCACCTTTGAGTAAAAGGATGTAATATAAAAAATTAAAATTAGAGATTAGTTTAAGGATCACTTGAGATGCTGAAGCCAAAATTAAAACTTCAAACTGCCAAGCAGTTATTCAATGTGTGCAAAATAAGAACATCCCAATAAAATACAGTGAAGCCCAGAGAACTCCCCCTTAGCAGAAGGGCGTGACCGTCAGTGAGGACATGTACTGAGGCGCTAATGCCGCCCGCGGTCAGGCTCCACGGTCTGAAATCCACCATCGCCCCTGTGCAAAACAGGAAATCCCATATGTTTGTATATTTATTTGGCAAAGAGGACTGAACAGATATCGGCAATAGTCTCTTTCCTGGAAATAACATGCTTCAGAAATTAAGCAGTAGAATAATTTCCTCCCTTTATCAGAATGAGAGGAAAAGTATCACAAAGTTAATCTGGCCTCAGAAATTGCTACTTCTCCATAATAAGAAATGGTTTTGCCAGAAGTTAGAAACGAGTTAATTTTTAAAATCCTCCTTATGTATTCACTGAGACAAAGCTGTGCAGGGAAGCAATTGTGAACTAATGGTGGGATTTCTACCTTGTTCCACAGCTGGATTAATGCCATGGCGATAACAATGTATTGGCTTCAATGTCTGCTGCTATTTAGTTAAAAAGATTAATATGATCACATGACTTTTCAATTCATTATATCAGAGGCCTCAGTGAATAATGCAAGTTCCAGGACTATTTTGTGGATTGATAACGTAGAACTTTATAAATAAGTATGTAACACATAAAAAAATGGATTTATAGTCAATGAAAGAGAGGTACAGGCCCATTCTGTTCATATCTTTCAATACCACACTTGACACCATTTCCATTAGGGGCAATTGTATATACAAGAGGGGAAAAAAACAGTCAAAAATAAATAAAGGGCACATAAATATGTATTTTGTGATTCTTGCCCTCACATGAAAAACTTCCATTTCAATCCTGACTTTCTATCCCAAGAGTTACGGAATCTTTCCTAGGAGTGCATACATCCCACAGCCTTCCGATGCCGCCAGGTCATTTTATTTGGAATTTAGAGTCATCCTAATAATATGTGGTTATTGTGAACACTGATTTATCCCTGGAAACGCCTTTCGTAAAATCTCTGTAGGCTTCCTCCCTTGGCAAGGATATAAAGCTGCAATGCTTTCATACACAGGTGCTGGAAAGAAGGCAGTAAAGGATTTTATATAAACCCTGAGAAGAAACGCCCCAAAGGGAAAATACTTGAACTTGATGGCCTGTGATTCTGGGAGCAGAGATGAATGGTGAGAGGGAACTGCATTTGTAGACGCGGGTGCCGGGAATCCTCTCCGCGCAGCTCAGCGCGCTCTCCCCGTCCACCATCACTCTGGGGTGACACCACACACCACTAGCTGTAATTACAATCCGCTGGAACGGTGGCCGAGAACTGGGGCGTGACACTGCCAGCAGGGGAAGATTGCTCTTTGATTTATGTCCGTGGCCTTTGCTTGCAGAACTGGGAGCTGTTTGCAACTCTATTTGGTAGACTTGATGTTGGCCCAAAGCTAATAAAATTCACAGTCACTCATGTGTCCACTTGATACCCAGGCTGGTGCGTCTGGTACTGGGGCTTCTCAGCAGACAACAGCTCCCGCACACGTCTGATTCCTCACCTCGGAGGAACCGGGGAGCTTTCCTTCTGTCCCCATGCCCACGCTGACCCCCAGCCCTGTCCGCGTCTGCTCAGTCCTCAGAGATGCAGCCCGCATCGGTACAGAGAGGCTGGCTGCGTTTCAGAATCTCACTGTGAGTGTTATGACCTTACATCACTCACCTTGAGAAGGGACAGTCCTGGTTTACACCCTGTCTGTGTAACTATTAATCCTGCCCCTTTTTACTCTTAAAAATGTTCTAGTATGGATAGCGAACTAGACAGTCACTCTTATCTATAATCGCCCAGCCAGTTTATTTCATAGTTCCTCTAGGGAAAATTAAAATGGCCTTTACTTATTAATGCCTCGAGTCTGCAAGAACTCACCCAGCCTCACCCTTCCCTTCTCTTCCAACAGGATCAAAAACGAGTTATATTTGAGGACTGTCTGTTGCATTCACACAGTTCTTTGCAAATTGCTTAATGGAAGCTTTTTAATAGAGTTCTTATACCCACCGAAATCATTTGGCTGAAGAAAGACAATTCTAATTTAAATGCTTTTTCATGATTTTAAAAATTCATTTGAAATGAACTAAATTATTTTCTAGTTTTCCAAGCTAAAAACAGTACATCTCCACCATTAGCCATATTACTAATTCTCAATATTACAGTATGGAGTAGAGATAGGTAGATGGTGATAGAAAGATGACAGGTGAGACAGATAGATACAGATCAATAGATAGGTGATAGATAGAGGTAGACAAATATTCTATTTGTATTATTGCTTCTGTTTTTTCAAAATGGTTTTACATATATCTCATCCCACCCCTCCACACACCTCCGAGGTATATAATGCTACCATCCTTATGAAGAAATTGAGGGACCCAGGGCCGAGGGGCTTGCCCGATCAAGGCCAGACAGACAGACTGACAGCAAAGCCATGAGGAGAGGTCCAGTCATGTGAGGCCAGGCCTCAGGCCCCACCCCGAGGCGCCTCATACCTCACACCAGGGTTGTCGGTCAGCACAAAACCAAATGAGACATATACTGAGTTACTACCAGAGCGTGTGAACAGTAATTCCCCGGGGCCTCTGTTTTTAACCCCTTGTTAAAACCCTGTGTGTTTTGGTTTTCCCACAGGCTTATTAATGCCAAAGAGAATTCAGGATTTGTACCTCAGAATGAGATTTCTGAGGTACTTTGAAGAAGAGATGGGCTAAAACTATTTGCATAGCCCTGCATGATAAATCCTAAAGTGAATGTTTAACTCGGTGGTTATTAACGGGTTCAGCCTCGGTGGAAAGCACCAGCTTCCAAGCAAAGATATGGAACTTACTTTGTGGTGAGTTCCACGTGAATCTTCTCCCTCCATTCTTATTTCTGTAAAGTTCTGTCCAGGCGCACCTCTTCACCGTCTGAGACCCTCAATGCACTGATGTAAGTTCTCTGTGTGGCAGTTTTCCTCTGCAGGGGCCACTAAACCAGTCTCTGCGTAAGGCTGCTGAGACAGAGAAGCCTGCAAGTGAAGAGATAATGAACTGCTTTGCTCCCCGGCTCACAACGTCTTACCACGGGAATTCTCTGACATGGTGGCTGTCTCTCCAGAGGGTTTCAGCCCCGGGTACATTCACTATGGATTCAGTGAGACTGAGAAGTGACAACATCATGTTTTGGGGGTAAAAGGGTTTATACCTGGCTTTATTCTCCCAGCGGTAGGTCTAGCATTAGAATCCTGTCTGCGCCCAGCAGCCTGCAGGCCCGTCACCCACCTCTGTCACCACCTCGGCCAGAGCACTGGGAGGAGCTCTTTAGTGCCTCAGTCAGTCACAGCTCACTGCCTACGTCTGCGGGAGCAGCAGCCCAGCAGCAGGCCAGTCACATCCTCAAGTAGTTCAGGGTCAGGGGAGGATCCTGGCCACGGGAACTTCCGTTTTCCCCACAGCGGTCTTGCTCACATAGAGGGACCGTGGATTTCTAAAAGAATAGTCCGTTGTGACCCAAAGCTAAACTTACATTGAGAGAAACATAACCCAGAACATTTTATTTCAAAAATCCTCCAGCTTTCATTAGGACAGTGGTTACTAAGCTGTAGCACCTGAAGGGGTTGTTAAAACACAGACCGCTGGGCCACACCCCACCCCGGGGGTTCAGGTTCATTCCCTCCAGGATCAGGTGCGAGAAGTCACATTTCCATCAAGTTGCCGGATGGTCCCGATGGCCTGGGAGCCACACTGGCCCAGATCGATAGTCTCGCCAGTTTTTACAGATCTTACTAAAGGTAGCTTTGTTCATGTTGAATGTGTTTGCGCACTATTTATTATATTTGAAAGCCGTCTGTTAGAAGCGATCAAACCCCACTCACTCAAAATCCACATGAGTGTGACTCAGTCTGGTGAATACAAACAGCCAGAAATAAGTTCCTCTCTGAGAGCTCTTTAAATCAGGACCACAGAGATAGAAGGCCAAGAACAGGCTATATTAAGGTATCCCAGCAGATATGTTTGTTTATTTTTATGTTTTTATTTTTTATTTTTGTATCATTAATATACATTTACATAAGCAACATTGTGGTTACTAGATTCCCCCCATTATCAAGTCCCCCCCACACACCCCATTGCAGTCACTGTCCATCAGTGTAGTAAGATGCTACAGAGTCACTACTTGTCTTCTCTGGGTTGTACTGCCTTCCCCATGACCCCCCCACACACATTATGTGTGCTAATGGTAATGCCCCTTTTTCCCCTTATCCCTCCCACAAATATATTTTTAATCACTTATATTTCTCAATTAAAGCACAATGAATAAGTCAACACCCCTACCATTAAGTGCCTGGCATTGGGCATTGCAGTAATAATTTACTTATTATTTCTTCCTCTTTAGTGAACTTTATACTACCAAGAACGGTATTAAAAATCAAAAGATGGCATAGTGTGGCTAAATAAGGTAACATTTTTTTTCAAATATCAGCCTGCCTTGCTAAGCCCACGCTTTTTCTCATGTTCTTTCTTGAGAAGAGAAACACACTTTTGGTGGTAAATACCTGGCCGAGCTCAGTTCAAAAACATTGTGCCGATAGGACTGAGCGTGGTTTCTCTCATCTTTGAAAAATGCTGCAGGTTGAAGTCTGTTAAGCGTGACTGTATCTCACTGTATTCAACGGAGTTCAGTGACTTCTTTAGAAATGGCTACAGAAGGTAAAGAAAACCTTAGTATTTCTGCCATGGTAGAACCCTGGTTCTGTTGGATTCGTAATTTTCTTTTTGAAAATAAAGAAAAGATTTTCATTAAAGATTATTTCCCTCCCATCCTCTGTGTTCAAAAATAAATATTAACTGGGAATAGTTTTCCTTTTTTACCTTTTCCATTTACTTAAAACTTAGCCTTGAAGGGCACACACAGTACATATTCCCACTTACCTTTTGTGGGGAAGTTGGGGTTCCCATGGCTGGGATCCTCACTAAACTTAAACCACCTGATGATGTAACTGGCCTGTTGCTAGGCTACTGCTTCCACACCTTTAGACAATAAGCTATTATTGCGCCATATAGAGAGCTCTGCCCAGTGCCCTGGGTGGAGGCAGGGACGCTAGTGCTCAACCTACCGGCGGGAGAACAAGCTGGGTAATAAACCCTTTCGCCCCAAGAACATTCTACTGTCATTTCTTTGGTCACAACGAATCCACAGTGAATTTGTCCAGTGCTGAAACCCACTGGCAAGACACTTTTTTTCAAATACTTTTCTGTGTGCCCACAAGTGTGCGTGTGTACCGTGTATACACTACGGATGGGTGGAATAGACTGTATGGGAAAAGGCATTCTGCTTTCCTAATGCCTGCTATTCAAATTTCTACCACTTAGCAAATTGTTTGTCATGGAATTTGTGTGATCAGGTGCCAATCATCCAAACCACGTGTATTCAGTTTTTGTGGGGAAAAAAGTGCTGGAGATGCAAAAACTCCTTTTAGAGAAAAATCGAGACGGTGCCTCTCACATCAATTGAATAAACTTCTAACGTCAGGACTTCAGGTCCTTGTTAAGGTTAGTAAGCAGCAAAGAATATCTGAAGGCCTAACCAAGCTCCCCCATCCCAGTGAAGAAGGGACAGGACGTGGCAGGGAGATTAGGTTGAGAGAAAAGAGACAGACATGCTCTGCTTTCTTTTCCTTAAGATAGTTTTTGTGAAGGTCCAGGAGGAAGCGGCAGAGACGTGTCAAGAGTGACCGAGGTGTCAAATAAAGAATCTCACACAATAAATGCTGCCCTTGAAGCAGAGAACCGCGTCCCATTCACACCTGTCCACACGCAGATGGTGAGGGTCAGGCGCACATGCATTTCTGCGCAACCACTTCCAGCCAGAGACAAGCTCAGATGGGTAATGAATAACTACACAGTCATTCAAATGTTTAAAATAAAACCATCTCAGGGCAGTTCACCCGGTAACAAGTGCCTCTGTCTGAGAAAGGACATGTGGCTGAAGTCCCTTTACTGTGACCGGCAGGAGAGACTTCAGGCGCAGAGGGCTGATGCCCGCGGCTCCCCTGCTCAGATGCACGGGTGGCCGCTGCCTGCGGGGCGGAGGCACTGGGGCTGAAACGGCCGGGAGAGGGGCCGCGGGCCGCCTCGGCACCGGCATCTGAAGACGAGAATCTCCACCACGGGCCCTGAACGCGCGACACGGAGCAGGGCCACTGGCCGGCAGGCTCTCTGAGGAACGGTGCTTCCTTCGTTTCTTTTGCAATCACCCCTATTTCTATCAACCCTGAGTAAACATCCTCCAAAAATGAAGAGGTTAGTAAGCAGCAAAGAATATCTGAAGGCCTAACCAAGCTCCCCCATCCCAGTGAAGAAGGGACAGGACGTGGCAGGGAGATTAGGTTGAGAGAAAAGAGACAGACATGCTCTGCTTTCTTTTCCTTAAGATAGTTTTTGTGAAGGTCCAGGAGGAAGCGGCAGAGACGTGTCAAGAGTGACCGAGGTGTCAAAGAAAGAATCTCACACAATAAATGCTGCCCTTGAAGCAGAGAACCGCGTCCCATTCACACCTGTCCACACGCAGATGGTGAGGGTCAGGCGCACATGCATTTCTGCGCAACCACTTCCAGCCAGAGACAAGCTCAGATGGGTAATGAATAACTACACAGTCATTCAAATGTTTAAAATAAAACCATCTCAGGGCAGTTCACCCGGTAACAAGTGCCTCTGTCTGAGAAAGGACATGTGGCTGAAGTCCCTTTACTGTGACCGGCAGGAGAGACTTCAGGCGCAGAGGGCTGATGCCCGCGGCTCCCCTGCTCAGATGCACGGGTGGCCGCTGCCTGCGGGGCGGAGGCACTGGGGCTGAAACGGCCGGGAGAGGGGCCGCGGGCCGCCTCGGCACCGGCATCTGAAGACGAGAATCTCCACCACGGGCCCTGAACGCGCGACACGGAGCAGGGCCACTGGCCGGCAGGCTCTCTGAGGAACGGTGCTTCCTTCGTTTCTTTTGCAATCACCCCTATTTCTATCAACCCTGAGTAAACATCCTCCAAAAATGAAGCGCAAACCTCACATCGGTGTTTTTCCTTTGATGACTTGTGGAAGTCGGAGCGTCTCTGCTGTCCGGGGAAAGAAAACTGTTGGGACGGCAGACAGGCCCCTGTTGCCCCGCACCGTCCGCCCTGCGCCCCTTCTCCCAGACACGGGAACGTGCTGCGGCCCTGCGGGCAGGTTGTTCTTCCCTCGGACTCAGCACCCTCTATTTAATCCAATAAGTGTTTGTTGAGTACCAACAAGAGTGAGAACAAGTATAAATAGAGAGAGAGAAAAAAGGAGCCTGGTTAGTTTTCAAAAAATATATATTCCTGCCCCAGCTGCAGCCTTTCTCTCCCATTGGAAACCAGGTGACACTTTACCTCCTGTAAGTCTCCCTTGCAAGACTGTGGTAATGACGAAATATGGTAATGCACAAGACATCGCAGAGAAACTTGCAATAAAATGCAAACGAGAAGTGTTAATATCCAATGAAGATCGATCCTCTAGCAGCTTAGGATTCAGTGAAATGATTCTTAGATAGGGTGACCATCTAACTTTTTGTACAAACCAGATAATATCTGAGAGTGAAATGAAGTATTACTAATAATTTGGGGGGAAAAACAGTTGAAAATGAGGAGGGGTGAAACTGGGTCATTCTCTCCTTAAAGATATGAACAAAAAGATTTGTGGATAAGATGATGTACTAAGACAACACACACAGCTGATACTTAGGGGGCGTGGGGAGGAAAGAACTTTTACTCTCTCAGGTTGAGCACAGAAGGCCTGCAAATTAAATTGATGAAAGACAGAGTAGCAAGAGAAAACAGTTACAATTCTGTCCTTACACTTCGGAGTTCACAAAGAAATGTGACTCAAAGAGACAACTAGAATTTGGGACTCATATGTTATCTAAAAAAAGGGAAGGAGAAGGGCAGAAGGACATTTCTGGAAAAACAAATACTTCTTAGAAGGGGAGTAAGGGAGAAAGGCGGCCTATAGAGAGACAGGTGACTTTGGAAACATAAATGGGCCGGAGAACAGAAAGGAAATATGATCAATTGTGACAATATCTCAGGGTGTTGTGTTGACTTCTTATCCCCAAGAGGCGAAGATTAAAATTTTTTCATTTCCCATCCGTACCTCATGGGTGGGGATTTATGATAATTTAGTTCTATTAAGTTCTTTTGGGAGGCTTGGCTTTCAGGCAGATAAACAATTTCAGGTACTCAGATGGCTTAGCTCAAATTAATTCTTAGGCCAAACTGGCACATTTTGGGGGAGGGAAGGAAGGGACCCATAAGCTGATCCCCTCAGAGTTCACAAAGTGGATTCAGGGTTAATTACTTAG